GCCCTATGGCTGCCTGGTGTCCATTCGGGGTCGGCGTCATTGGCGGCAGCCATTTCATTAAATATATATATATATATATATATATATATAGGGTTAAATATGAGTAAGTCACTCCGATAAGCCACTTACGACGGTTTACGCCGCTTACGCTGATGTGCACCGATACGCCGCTTACATACCGATATAATCGACATGCGCCCACACGCCCCTAATGCCGATTTACCTTGATATGTTCATTGTGCTGCGTAGGCCAATTCAGTTTTGATCTGCTTTGCCACGAATTGAACACTGTAGTCTTAGATCGACTTGAAGATAAAGATCCCTGAGCCTCCTTAACAAAAGCCTTCGGAAAACACCAGAATGACAAGATGTATGACCACAAAGTGATACCAGTAGCGATGGTGCTGGTTGTAAGATGAAGACATGGCATCATTAAAAACACTCAAATAGGGAATCCTTGTACTGCCACAAGTGCTGGCATAGTAAACTGAACTTAGAATCAAAGCTCTTCGAAACCCTCAACTCAGAGGATGGATAGAGCCTGAGACTGATGGTGCGCCTTTGACTTTAAACTCAAAACTTTTTCTAGCCCTAACTCCGAAGTCTTCGAAGATGAAGCTTTGGATGGATGGGGCGCCCCTGATGTCAAACCGGATTCTTCTAAACCCTGAACTCCGAGGATGGAGCCTTGGACTTTTGTTGTCTCGCTTATCGGCGTGAGTGGCGGATATCGGTGTATCGGCGGGCGGGCCGGACATATCGGCGTATCTTTGTATTGGTGCGCCGGGCCGTACAGCGGTGTACCGGTGGGTCAGCGCCTAGGCCGGATTCTCGGTGTACCGACAAGCCGGGCAGGATATCGATGCATCGGTGTGGTGCGCCAATCTGCGCGCAACTCCTAACTGACGGCACAAGCGATCTATATACTGATACTCATTCCTATAGATCTATAGAACTCTATATATCTTTCCTCCCTCTCGCACCGCCACAGCTGCTATCGGATCTGTTTATCTATATGGCTATGTACAGCTATATATCTATGGACCTATAGATCTGAATCTACATCTATCTATATATACATATATGCATACAACAATAAGAACACGAACAACAATCATAACACTTGTAGTACTAGTTACTAGTTATAACCGTAAAAACCATGGACAAATAGATGGTATATAAATAACTATAAATATATAAATGTATATCTATGTATATATGTGTGTGTTTACGTATACATATACACGTCAAAGTAATTGACGATGGATAAACACGTATGTATGTGTACATACATATCATATACACATGTAGACATCTCTTGTACATGCATTGAAACTACATAACCACACATCAAGTGTACATTGTGACAAAACATGTGAAACATGCGCAGCTGCCTATGGCGACGTCGTCCAACTCCATGCGGCAGCCCGTTCGCCGCTGGAGCTCCCTTTCATTTGCACCTGCAGAGGTCCAGCAGCCCTCACAGGCTTAATGCACTGAGCCAAGTCATCTGTGTCATGCCTTTCACGCCGATAAGGGTATTTATGCAGCACGATGGCATGACCTGACCCAAGTCGTGTCGGAGTAGAAGGAGCGGAGGTGCGAAGGTACCAGGTGTTCGCATACAGCTCCAATTGGCTTCAAGTGGCGATTGCCAGGCGTCGCTCCTCGTGCCCAGGCATGATGCACTCGTAACAGTTGTTGACCATGAGCAAGATTTGCTTCACGGCAGCCACCTGGCAGTCTGTCTATGCTTCCCCAACTACGTGCAGTAATCCATACATGTTGGACGCTCCAAGTCTCTCCAAGTGACAATGTGCTCCCATCCTGGCGACTCGATGGTGACAACCTGTGCAGCATTTGCACAGTGGTGGACCCCAGCTCCTAGCAACGAGAAGCCAACCAAGCCTGCTGGTGGGTGCCGGGATAGGCATCGTCATATCCGGTCATCTGCAACATGCCTTCCAGTTCAGGGTCCGGTTTCTTTAACAGTGTCGGACACATGCTTGTGTGTTGCAAATCACGACCACCGTCCCGATCATGTTATGACTCGGGTTACACAAATCCTGTGGCAAATGTCACCCTGACAACCTGCAAACGATTCCTCGCACAATGGTTTCGCTGGGGTTGTGGTCGGGGCGACTGTTCGCAGGCATGCAGCTCGAGAACCGAAATCTCAGTTTTATGCTTTATGGCTATTATCATGCGAAGTATCTGTTCAGGTTCAGAGCGGTTGCATTTTCAGTCCTTCAGATCCTTCAGACTTTGCAGACGCAAGCATATACAGTTTGATTTCGTTGCTTGGTGCAGGATCCGCTCGCCATAACTTCTCCTGGAAGCTCTCCCTGCAAGGGAAAGCATACGTGTGCTGAACGGTGTGTGTTGACGTTGTGGCATAGTCGGATGATCCCACACACGGGTTTGTACTGCGACGAGATACGACGAGTACCTGGAGGCTCCCCGGCCTTGGGCTGCCTTTTCGATGACTGATTGACTGAACCTCGGACATGAGCGACTACAGTGATACGGTGATGCTTTGATGCCGTGAGCGCAGTTGGTCAAGTGCCGGCCAGTGCACGCAATCGCACTGGCCAACGTCCGCGGAGCCAGCAGCTTGAAGGTTGGAGTGCAAAGGTTGGCATGCTCCTGCGGCATGGCTGAAGCAATGCCCGAAGCAACCGCATCGACTCTGGTCCTCCCGTCTCGGTCTCTTATCATCACCTCCATCTTCTTGAAGGGATCTCTTCAACATCCTGCGAAACGCTTCTGATAGAGACCTTAGATATCTCGGTGCGGCGGTGCCTCGTGGCCACCGTGCGCAGTCCCTCACAAGACACACCTGTCAGTTGCATGTTCGAGGGACCTCAACTTCACACAACTTCATCACGAATGGTTGTAGGCCCGCACCTTGCGGTGCTGAGGGAAGAGGCACATGGCCAGCAACTCGAGCCAAATGTGGTAGAGCAGATGCAGAAATGTTGGGCCCAGGGGACAATGTCTCAAATCCTACGGACCTGCTTCTCTTCCCTCATTCGATCTGGGTGGCGGGCCTGCAAGCCCTACCTGTGACCTGCGCGACGCATGCAGCTGAAGAGCTGACATGTCGTGTCACGCACTGCCGAGGGCGCAGCACTTTCTTCCCTGCGACTGCACAGGCAAATCCTGGGTCATACGAGTCCCGGCGGAGTTCTACATTCTTCGTCTGGCGCAAGACAAGGCTGGGACGTAATGCCTGCTGCGGATCTGCACCGCCTCCCAATGCCTCAAGTGAATGATTTACCACTGGGAGTGTGGCATTGGGCAACTACTGATGACAGCGTGCGTTTGCTCGTGAAACGGAGCCCGCGGCGCAGAGGCTCGCAGCGACAAAGGTGTCTCCGGCTCCCAATGAATCTACAACCTCCACAGGTTGAACTCAATGCCAGGGATCATGACCTAAAAGCCTGTACCACATGACTCCCTGGGCGGCCTTGACTGCAAGCGCCTTCTCGAAGTACACCTGCAAAGGCAGCATTTAGAATGAAGGCGGCCAGTCACAGTTGCGGCATGTTGCGGCCACCAGGTACGCCGCCTCGCCGCTAGGAACTTCCTGGCAGAAACTGCCACATCAGTCCATGCACCCTCAAGAGCGCTGATCCAACTGCCCCAGTTGAGCTTCTGGCCAGGGCAAAGGCACCGAAGGCTCCCCAGGGACAAATCTGGGATGAGGCCAGGGGCGCAGGCTTCTTTCTGCGTGTGGACTCTAGCCGACTCTTGCTCACACGGCACCCTTTTAGGGCGCAGCCCAGAGCGATCTCCACTCTCTTGCCTCGACGGGTCGACTGAACGGAATTCGGCACTAAGGATGGCAGTAGGCAAATGCCACCTTAGAAGCAAGGGCCCGCAAACACAGCAGGGCCATGTGATCCCGCCTGAGAAAGCCGGTTCACTGCTTGTACCAATGCTTTGCCATCTCCCATTGAGATCCTGACCAGTCTTCGGGTTGACCTGCGGTGGCCTGCAGGAATGCAGTCCGGCACTATCCTCAAAGAAATTTTGGGATATCGCATTGCTGCACCGTGCCTGCACGTCGTCCGTGCCGAGTAAGTTTGAAGCTTGGGCCCGAATGAAATCGCTAGAGAAAAATGCCACATCACCTCAACGCCGTCAACATCGGATGTGGAGGAATACTTGCTTGGATGGTTTCGCGTTGCTCGGATTGCGGCAGCGCTGCAACAACGGAAGCAGTGCGCCCACCTTCCATGTACAAAGGCTTGTCAAAAGTTCAGGACTGTACCATATCGACCTGTCTACACATCTTCCGAGGTCTTGACTTCCAAGGCAGGTTTCTCCACCTTATCCGAGCTTAGTTCGCCGCGTCTAGGAAGGGCGGGTAATACAAATGCGCAGGCCTCGACGGAAAGGATTGGCGTCAAAGAAGACCTGTGCGAGCCCCAGCACGTGATAAAAGCTTGTCTCCTTGTTGCGGACACGCCCTGCATCCGCAAGTCATGTCAGTGCACTGCTCATGGAGGATCACTGCGAATCCACCACGAAGGCTCGTTTTCGTGGCAGGCTTCCGAAAATGCCGTCTGAAAGTGCCGCACCCACCCGACAGACCAGACAGCCACAACAAAGACTCGAAGCAGCGAGAAGCATTGTAGGCGCCAATGCTGCGGCAAGACAGTGTTGCTTGGGATACGAAACATCACGACGGTCGACTTCGGCTCAATTTTGGCCCGGGTCTTCAGATGCACATTGTCCAATTGCTCTGGCAAACCGGCGTGTACGCAAAACCCAGCTTGCCACCTCGAATAGCTCGAATATGCAGCTACAACAGCAAGCATAGGTGTGCCTGAAGTCAGGGACTTCTGGACGCAGAATCGAGGCCATTTGAAGCACCTCGGACTTGTTTTTGCCGCGGCGCAAATGGATGTGCTTCTGTTGAGAGCCTGAGGCTTCCACTCCAGGCATCTGGCGGCATTCCAAATGACACCTCGGCTGGGATACGAAGCTCGGGCCCTTCCCTGCTCGAAGACGCAGATCACGAGGAGTGGAGCTGAGGCCCTCGCCAGCACAGCGGTGCACCGTCCTGGACCTGCCCATCACGAGAGCAGAACCAAGCATCCTGAAACTGCACAGAAGGCACTCTGGCAACAAAGGACTGCACTGGAACCGTGCAGCTCATGTGAGTGCCGGGGCCACGCGATTGCAACACTTTCTCTTGTAGTCTCTTTACGTTAAGTTCCAGTCGTTGCATGTCTCTACTCGGGGTTCGGCAGAGTCTTCGTGATCGGCTCTCGTCTGACCACTTCTTCTCTGTAGCACCCGTAGCATTTCAAGAGATGGCCCTCGCAGGAATGCCTGCTTCAGCACCTCCTTCAAATGACTCGCATCCATCTCTTTCAAATCGCGTCGCCTTGATTTGGCCAGGTCGGTATTGTGCCTAAACTCTGGGTTTCTTCTCCTGAGGTGAGCACGAGGAGATGATGGTCCGCGCCCCAGAGTCTGCACCTCGCACCCCACTGTCTGGGCCAGGATGCGACTCGTTTGTGTGACCAGCCGCTCAGGCAAGATCTCAGCAGCACAAAGCTTGTGGGCAGCCCGGCGTCATCGGTAGCACAGGCCTTGCAGGAGCCAATGTGTTTGCACACGTACCATGTGTAGCAGTGTAGAGGCACTTGACATGAGCTGGGACAGCAACCTTTTGAAGCAGCCTGCGAAGGCACCGCTCTTCGCTCAAACCAGGCAACCAAAAAGCAAATGATTCGCTTTCCAGGCAAGACGCGACGTCTCCACTCCTGCAACGAGCATGGTGCGTCTATGTGCGTCTCGACAGGAGGCTGTCTCGGATCATCTGCGCCTCCTGCTTGGAGAGCTTTCAGTGCGAACTCGGCATCTGCATCTCCCTGAGCCGGGAGTATACCTCTGTCGCTTCAATGCGACCCCACCCCCCACGTTGCAAATGCTGAGGCCTGAGCCTAAGGAGCTCACACTCTGCCTTTCCACGCCAAGACGAGCTTGCGAGCATGCCAGGCCCGAATCGGACAGGAAGCAACCGACCGATCTGAGAAGGGCCCCTGCCCTGATGAAACCAGCTGTGCTAAGACCTTGCCAGGTGCCAGAAATGCTGGGCAATAACACGTTGCTGCCATCAGGTTTTAAGAGTCCGGCTCGGCAGCTGTTTGCGCCGTTACCTTCCGTGCCAGGACTCTTCGACTTGCCGAGCTCCGAGAAGCTCCGGCCTCCCAACGTCTTTGTGAAGGCTGTTGCCCTGGCGCAGCAAGGAATGCGAGGCTGGAAGCGCCGAAGTGTTCCAGTCAGAGGCGTAAAAGTACCAATTTTCTGTACAAAGCGGCGCTCCATGCCGAAACTTAGGGGGAAACTCGAAAACAATCAGCGGCTAGTTCGCCACACTCACGTTGGTAAGTGGGGACGACAGCCGGATGTCCTCAAAATCAATCAAGTATCAAGTCCGGACCTGATCCGGATGCAGACCGTCCTGATTGATTTCGTAGATCATCGCACCCACGGCCCAGTCTATCGGCTTGCCGGCGTGTGATGTCTTGAAAACAAGATTGTTTTGCTCCTGCGGCTTCATCATGTAGGACCTAGCCGTGTGGAAGACTATCACATGGGCTGTCCTCCATACCATAGCCAAAATTGAGCAGGACGTAGGCAAAGGTTGCATGGAAGCATAAGTGAGTTCGATCATAGTCGTCCTGCCATGCACAAGGCCACGCTTCGCTGTGCCGGGTGAACTTCCCACATCCTCAACGCGGGCGAAGAGGGAATTGAGGATGTCGATGGTCAAAGAGCACCTAGGCTTTGCTGGGGCCCCGTGCTGTGCAGAAACCGACAAAACTGGGACGCGGACACGTACTGTGTGGCAGCTCTGAAATCTTCAAGTTGCGCTGTTTCGGGAAGCCCAAGATCTCTAGCGATGAGCGCGAAGTGCGCCTTGGCTTGATATCACGTGTGTCGGCGCAAGCTGTTAAGAATCTCGGAAATCGTTTTTTGCCAGGTCGCGAACGCCAGGAACTTCTCTCGATAAAGTCGTGGTTGGTAGACCCCATAGAAGGAGCCTTAGCATGCCACGGGCCAAAGAAGCCTTTGGGACTTGAGACCGCTGCAGACAAACCAAGGGACATTGCGCCACCAAGCATGGAGCGTCCTTGTTGAAGATTCTCATGATGAGCTGCTCGCACTGCACAAAGTCGCTCGTCCCCTGCATCTTCACCTCGGCCAGGAGCTCTAAAAGAGATCTGCCCGCATGTCATGCTCTCCGACGCGGAAGGCCCCCCCAAACACAGCCGGGCTGCTCTGATGGCTGGAAACCTGGCAGCACTATACGAGAACTTCGGTGTGTAGATGTAGCCTTTGGCGAAGCAAGGATGATAAACTTCTGTCTCCTCGGGCACATACGTCTGATAAACAAACTGCACCACATGGGTCTGATGGCTAGGTTGTTCAGCATCATGCTAGACGAAGTGGCCGACTGCACCGCCAGGAGGGCATCAGAAATAACTCTGCTGGCTGTGCTGTGAGCAGCCTGACATGAAGTGCCTATAAACTGCTGGAGGCTTTTTGGCCGCAGTATCGGCCTGCCTCCCTAATTCCGAAGTGAAGGAAGGAGAAGGAGTAAAGCTGAAGCCGGTGCGGGCCTCAGAGCACTGCGCTGAGAGGCCGTGCACTGCGTTGCTGCTGCGCAATACTCAGCTCTTGGCCGAGCTTCAAGGGAAACTCGTGCTGAATGATGGACTTCTGGGGCATGAACACGATCTGCGCCTTGGCTCCGACTTGTCTTGGGATGGAAGTTCTCTTTTTTCCAGTCTGCTTCCCAAGGCGCAGAGGCTCCACCCAAATCGAGGGAACCCACGGTGGTGTTTGTCGCCGGCGTACGGTCGGGCTCCAGATTTCCAAGAAGGTAGTTCCTGCAAAAGCCAGCGAGGCTTGGGACAGCCGTGGCCCAAGCTGGAGGCAGGCTTCAGACAGAGGCTGGGGGACCCACGCAGAGATCCAGCCGAAAACGCCTTCCTCCTTTGAAGATTACATGTGCAACTGTGTGCTTTCCGAACTTTCCGTATGTCCGAAGCCTCGCCGGTGGCAACAGAAGCCATGTCATTGCCTGGACTGTTTGGGGGGATGGCATGTCAGAACAGTCCAAGTTTGCACGTCAGACTTCATCCTGCACGGCATACTTAAGCTCAGCCCTTGTGCGGGTAAAACGGGTATAGAAGCCCCGTAGGGGAAGGGTCTAGGACAGCGTATGGGCAGGCTGGAGCGAGGGCCCAGCCTAGTCAGAGAGGGTAGGCTTAGCGGTTGACCTAGGCCCACCCCTAGCCTAGTGCTCGGCCGAACCCTAGGCCTACCACTAGCCTGGCGCTGGCAAACCCTTTACCCGGACCTACCAAGATTTCCCGCTACACTGGCCTAGACCCGAGGCAAGGTCCTGGCCTAGCTCTGCACTGGCCTAGAGTCGGAGCTTCTGTGTGGTAAAAATAGTGCTGCAATGTTGTCGTAACTAGCACACTCGAATAGTCATCGTTGTTTGCGTGGATCTCACACAGTAACAGCGAGGCTTCTGGGACTATCTGCTTTCAGCTGGGACCAGAGTTCCGCTCCAGCTTCAAGCCAGGTCCAGCTACATCCGCAGAATGGATGCATGGAGCATCGTCTGTTCCGTCTCTGTTCTTTGAAATCCCCGAGCTTCAACTTCTCGACAAGCCAATGATGTACAGTAGATCACTCATATGCTGTAGATCACTTATACATTCTTCACTCGATCAGACCTTAGGAGTGCCAGCTTTCAGATGTCAGTCATGCAGACAGTCTTTCGTTTATGCTGAAGATGCCCATTGGTTCTGTTGGCAGGCACATCAACCCCCCACGAGATCCCGCGAGCACAGCACAGCTGAGTCGCGGGCGGAACATGAAAGGGAGTGTTCGGAAAAATGACCGAATGTCCTCCTCAGAGTTGGAGTTGCGCTACACACTCGGGCTGGGTTATGATTTCCTGCCGCCCAGCATCCAGAATCGCTTCGCGCTGATCTGGGAAAAGCAGACGCATCCCTGCTGTCGCACGAAGATAGATCGGCGTCTGAGCCCAGTTTGCCGTTTCCTGAGAGCTGTCGCTTGGTTACGGCCACGCGACACAACGAAACCGAACGTAGGTTCACCGAAACAGCTGCACTTGTCAGTTGGGGTCCCTCTGTTTAGCCGGAGCGTTGGAGTTGAGCCGTAACAATTCTGGAGGCAAATGTGCTGGAAAGAAACGCGGACTTGGCTTCTTGCAGGTTCGGGTGCGAAGAAACATGAATTTTCACTCCTCCCTAGCAAGAACTCGTCACACCCTGCTGTCGAACGTTTATGGCTTGGCTGTAACAGACGCACTCATACTCTTTGCCAGCTCAGCATCGTGCTTCAAGGTGTGCATCATGTAGTCCATCAAGGGCTTCAGCGACTCTCCGGCTCTACTGGGGTGCTGCGCGAAGGAAGCAATGCCAGGTTCTGTACCTCGCAGACTTTGCTGGGAGGCTGGTCAGACTTCCAAATGTCAGAGAGGCCTGTAAACATGCTCAGCACGCGGAACTGATTCAGATTTGCGCCGTGATCTTTCTTCGAACTTCTAGCAGCCGCTTCCACAGTAGAAGTTCCAGTAGGCATAGCTTTTTTATTGATCTGCGAGACCACTTTGACAGTGGATTGCATCTCAGTGGAAAGTCTTGAAGCTGGGGGACTCCGATCGCCGACAGTCTCGGGAGAGATAATCACACCTAGGCTGGGAAGGCTGCTCTTGTGCCTTAGAACACCGAAGCCCTCCATTCCGGACCCCTAAGGCTGCGTCGGTTTGTGTCTGCAGGCTTCCATCTGAGGATGTAGATGCGGGATCCTTCACTTCCTGTCACTGACGCAGCACGCCTTTGTTGCAAGCGGTGCGACCACCACACGTGCACGAGCATGCGGCCTCCGTCGATGAATGCGCCTTCCCAGTACACGTGACCCAAGCTAAGTCAGGCGCTCTGGCAAGCATCAACGTCTGCAGCCAAGGCACCATATCGCCAGCTCGATCCCGTGCTTGCCTGTTGGGTCTTGCGCGGTCGCCAGCTGTGCAGGATTGGCTTGGCTGCCCCGCGGGTTGGCTGAGGAGCAGACCACGGCTACGGGGAAAGCAAGAAGCAGGATCCAAAAGGACATGGCCGCCAGAGTTCTGTTGCAATTACGCGTGCCAACTTGCAACTTTGAACAGTAGAAACCTGGCCAGCCGGCAGCGTTGAAGCCTTACTTAGGCCTTACCTGACATACTGATCGTGTTTTTCGCTTCCACAAACCTTGTGGTGTGACCCCATAAACGGCAGGAGCCATCGGAAGTTCGGCAACTGGTTGGTCAAGTGTGCGGTCTCCAGTCGTGTTCCTTGCAGCCGAGCCTTTGCGACGAATCCTCTTTGGGATACGATGGAACCTGCAGAAGGTATCGCCGTCTTGCTCTTCAGCCTAAAACTTACTGTAACATCATCTCACAGACTTCATGCGCGAGCGAAGTGCGAATGCCTCCAGGACACAGTCCAGGCAAATGTTGCCATACAGGACGAAGCGGCCTGTTGCAAGCTGTGGCGAGACTGCAGTGACTCGCAAGCTGGCGAAGCTTGGACAAAGGACGGCCATTAGCTGTTTTCTCCTCTCAACCGTAAAATCACGTCCTACCTACGCACTCATAGTGCTGTGAGACCATGGCTTTGCCATATTAGGACACAACTCAGATGGCTGAATTGGTCAAAGCATTCGAATTGGATCCAAGAGTTGCATCCAAATATTTCTGGATCCGATCTTCCACTCCATCCTCGAAGCGTGGCTTCGACAGGTCCTTCGTGGGCCTTTTAGGGAACAGGGCTGCTTGTGAGCGAAACCTGTGCTTCAGCACATGCCTAAGGCGCTTGCGGGAGACATCCATGCCCTTTTGGGTCAACATCACTCGCACCGCACCACAGCAAACCTGACGAATCGTGGCCAGGTAGCTCGTCGTCAGCACCAGGTCCACCTGCACCAGGACCTCTGCACGCTCGGAAGCTGAAATATTCCCGTGCTCCTGCAGCTTGCTGGATGCTGCCTCCAGAATCTCATGGTACGTGACAATGTTGTAGATGTCGTCTTGAACCTCAAAATCGGAGTCCGACGGCGCCAGAGTGAAAACAGCTCCTATCCAGTCCATGTCAACCAAATATGTCGAAGAACAGCCGGGAACATAGTGGCAGCTGTCATGGCCGTACTTTTGTGCACCATGTTTCACAAGCGCTGGATTGTCAAGCTTGGAACAAAGTTCACCATCGGCATATATCATGATGCCCAGAAGGGCGACGTCACTGGAGCGGATCCACTCCGGATTTCCCTTCTAGGGGTCTGCAGTTGCGCTCGTTGAGCTACGAGAGAAGTTGTGAGAACAAGCAAAACTTTGGCCCTCCAGCCTCGTACTTGCCTAAGCAAATGAGGCCAGCATGCACCGGCAAAGCTGCATGGAAGTAGAGTGGCTCTGCGGCATCAACCTGCTCCACCCATACCTTACAGAAGCTCGGATGGGGAGAGAGAGCGGCAGCGAGACCAAAAGGGTTTGCTAGCGATACCGAATCTGGCAAGGCACCTCCATTCTGGGATATGCAGGGCCAACCTTGAAGGTGGAAGCAAACTTGACCTTGCCTGCAAACTTGCCCCAAGTGTCTACGAACTCACCATCGACGACCAAGTCTTCCGCAGGCTTCGGATGGGCAGCGTAGCCTGCAAGGAAGAAATCTTCTTGCATCTTGCGACGCTGAGACTCTAAGAGACATGCACATCCGTGTCGGCGGATAAAAACAACTACAACAGACAAACTGTGTGGGTGGTATTCGTGGCTCTCCTTCCGAGTCGACGGCATCCTTGCCCACAAACGGCCCTCTCAGGATTGGAGCCGTGACTGGCCGCGGTGTCCGAAGCTTCTCCAGAGCGTCCTTAATGCGCTTCTTAATGGGCCAGACATCATCGATCCGGGCCTGGATCTTGCGATCCAGGAGCCAATCCGCATCCGGTGGTGTTTTGCTTGGGGAAGTACGCAAGGCATTTTCGGCAGGTGGGCTCAGCTGCTCTGCCTTCACGTTTTCCAGCAAGGAGCCGTCTGCAAATCGGACTTGAAACACTCCGTCCTCTGTTCGCCGGATAAGCTCTGCCACGAACCTCTTGGCACCGTGCGTTTCGACAAAGACTGCCACTTCGCGGGTGTACGGGCTCACCCAATCCAGCTCAGGCAAAAACAGCTCTTGCAGGTACTGCTCCTCGACACACTCGGTATCCCCGCTATCAACTTGCACCGTGTACTCGTAGTTGTGTCGCTGTAGAGCAGCGCAAACGCCAGTAATCTTCCCGAAGCGTAGGCATCCGGAGAAGTCCCGATTGCGAGACTCGTCGATCTTGCAGTAGCATCCCACGCGATGGCTGCATGAAGGCGCCGAGCCCATTTCAGCAAGCGCCAACGAAGAAAACGCTGCAGCTTGAGCCATATTGAGCCATGTCGGATTATACTGGTCATTCGTGGGCACCCGAAATAGCTTGGAAAGCTAAGCAAAACGGGCTTTCATTGAGTTTCCAGTTTCCGGCCCTGTACGGTATGTTTCAACACTGCCCTCGACTATCGTTATCAGAATCCTGAGGGTCACTGGCCATGATTACCATCGACACGTCTTCGTTCCATTCGTGCCTTGAAGGGGCCGCGGAAGAGGAAACAACTTCTCTGAATGCTCCTGCAAAGAGGAAACACAACTGCGGCTGAGAGATGGCTAAGTTGCGGGGCCTCGTCCTCACGCCTCCGCTTCATTCTCCGATTACCCCGTGGCCAGACTTATGATGAGCCACACTGCACCTGTAGCCCCGCTCCCGGTTGCTGGCATGTCGCAAGAATATGGATCTGCAGGTGGATTGGCTTTGTTTGTATGCGGCGCGTTTCCTCTCGGTGTTTACATGTGTCTACTCTATTTCCATGAATCAGGCTTTTGCATCGAAAGTGTCTCTGTTTCGAACCTCGGGCAAGTTCAGTTCGCGTCCCGATGCTGCCAGTCACTCTGCATGCTCGGCACTTTGGGTTGGGCTTGCGCAGGGTTCTGCGGCACGGGCGGTGCTGTGCAGACATGCTTGACTTTTCAAGCTTCTTTCAAGTCCAGGCGCTGCAATGCTTCTCTTGCGGACCCCAGCTGCTTGGCCACTCGAGCGCGGTTGAATATGACGGGACAGCCCTCGTTGAGGCATCTTTCACTTGCTTGGCCTTGGTCTGACACGGGCTCGTCGTCAGGCAGCTGCGGAAACCTGCCAGGGTCCAGCTCGCACAGATCCGAAACGGCTTTTAGTGCAGAAGCGAGACGGCAGAAAAAACCGGAAAAAATGCTCAAAACAGCCATGGCAACGCTCCGGAAGGCACGGCGCAGTCTCGAGCGCATTGGGCGCGCAGCTGGCTCAGCTCCTCGGCCAGGGCCCGGGCCCGGCCCAAGGCCTGGGCCTTGATCTCTGGCAGCTTCTCTTTGCAAAGTGTACAGACAGCGCCGTCGATGTCGGCAGAACACGATAGACACTTGGGTCTTGGCTTCACGAACTTTCCCATGCCTCCTTTCGAGGTTGACACAACCACCTTCTGAGAGCTAAGCCCGCCGAACAGAAGGCTTTCCGCCTTGTGCACATCACCGCACACCAGTTCAAAGACTCGAAGGAGCGGCTGCTTCAATTGGTTCTCCAAGTAGTAGTCTGCATCAATCGGAAGATCATTTTCCAGCGCGTAGAGCGGGTCTTCTGCTTTTTCGTAGACTTTTGCCTTAGCCGCCCCTGCAAGAACCAGGTAGGACACGCGATCTCCTAAGCGTGGAGCAGTGGTTGCATCTCTCTTCTTGAGCTTCTCCGCAACCTCTGCATGCGGTGCTTTCGCTGTGTATTCATTCCTGCCCAAGGATTTGGAGATTACTAAGGATCGGAAGTCGATCTTGTTCTGCCTCAGGTCATTACACACATCACGGACGTGTGCAATGGCCTTCTGACAGCCATCGGACCCATCAGACGCCAGCAAGCGTTTCAGCGTTTCTTCCAGTCCGTGCCGTACCAAATCGCACCAATCGCGTCTAACAGTCTCAATTCCTTTCGTCTCCAACTCTGGCGAGCTGCTCGAAGAAGCAAAAGCCATACCGGCATATCGCTTCTTGGCCATGAGAAGGAAGGGTTGATAGACTTTTTCAAACTCCAATCGAACCGGGGCAGGGAAAATCGAAGAACAGACTGTGGACGCCTCCTTGCTGGCCTTGATGGCCTCGTCCAGAGCGAAGCCTTCGGGCCCAAACTTTACCATTACAGAGTCCGTATCTCCATAAACAACTTCTGCATTGTAGGGGTAACCCAACCCCGTCGTGAAGTGTTGCTCCACCTTGGCCTTGGTAGCCTGGATCATTTCTCGACCATACGCAGTGACGGCACCAGCGACCTCCAAACACGGAAGGGGACCGTTGGTCGCCCCGGTGAAGCCGTAGACCGAGTTGGCAGACAATTTCAAGGCCAGCTGGCGGCCATGGAGCACCTTGCGGCGAGTGGCTCCCGCCTCGCCCGGCTCGCACTGTGCCAGCTGTGCCTTGGCCGCTTTCCGCGCTGCGAGCAGCCGCTCCAGGATGGAGGGAAGGAGTCCCTTGCGGACCTGCGACTTGACGAAACAAGTCGCATGCTCGCTCCCGGCAGTTGGTGGGGACTCCGTAAAGTCTGGGCAGTCGGGCTTCTTCTCACGCCCCGGAGGAAGCAGGGTGGAGTAGCAGAGGTTATGTGCCATCATGATCGATGGATAGAGAGAGGCGAAGTCCAACACAGCGATGGGACATCGATAAAAACCACATGCTGGTTCCAGCACAGTCGCACCCTCGTAGGTTGTATCTTCGCCAGTGCCTCCAGAAGTGGTAAAGTTCTTTTTCCGATCTCGTTGTCTCTAGACAAAGTCTACCAGCTTTCGGCCTGACAATGTGAGACAAGCCCACCCTGAATGAATAGATCTCAAGACAGGCCTGAGGCCTGGAATCGTGGTTCCAAGATTTCTGCCACTCCCACGCCTGGTCGCTGCGGAAGTACAAATCCCCGAACTCTGGCTTCTCGAAGGAGTTGGCACTGCACCTCCGGCAAAATTTGTCGCTCACTTCCAAAAATGATCAAAGCTTTCGATACACGCACTGGCACTGTCTTGCAGGAGTCGAAGGAGGGCCTTGATGGCCTGGCCCCGCTCAAGCAGGTAGGACAAGGGACAGCCTGTGACTCGGGCCATCTCCTGAGAAACGGCCCAGGGCCCAGGGAGGACTTCTGAAAGGAATACGACGACAGAGGAGAAAAGAGGCACTTGAAATCGATTTCAAGCTGACCGAGGCTCCACGAAGTTGTAGAGGTAAGCGAGGTGATGGAAGATCTTTGCGCTGGCTTCTGCTTGCCGAAGCAGGTGCTGCGCATAGGCGCGCGGCCGGGACCGAAGGATTTTGGCTCGCGTTGCTGCGCTGAGCTCAGGCAGAGGGGTGCGGCAAAAATGCTGAGACAAGGCACCTAAGGAGTAGTCCACCAAGCGATGATCTTTCTCCACCTGCTTTTGCAGGTCGAAGCCCAAGCGCCCGGTCATACCAGAAACCTCGTTGCTCTTGGGAGTTAGCTTGACCTCCGCTCCAAGTCTTCGACAAAGACTCCGGGCCAGGGGAGATCCGGCTTTCGCGATGCCTTTCTTGCCCAGCATTCGCCGCACGGTCTCGGACAAGTCGTAAGTCAAAATGATGTCGGCATCCATCGTGGCTAGCGTCCTGAGCTGTTATTGCTCACCCATCCATGACCGAACAAGCTTCGGGGCTTGGTTTCGGATAGTTGCCCGGCCTTTCTTCGTGCGAAACCTTTCAAGCCCGTGGAATCTGGTGGGGCTGCAACGTGCTTGGAGACAATGCGATGTACATGACCCGGCCTTGCACCGCCCATCCCTGCGCCTCCCCTCACTAAGGCGACCAAGGTCTGTGAGCTGCAGCCGGGGCTCTCACCCAGGTGCTGCAACAAAACCTCCTCGTCCTCTGAGAGAAAGAGGACAGCTGAGTCTGCTGCCTCCTCTGCACACAACACTTTCCCGTATCAGATGGGCATGAAAGCAGGGGTCCTCAGTCACTTGCTGCGTCGCCTCGGGTGGAGGATGCGTCGGGTTTGATTAGCATGCAGAAGAGCAGCTGGACTCGAACACCTTGTTTGTGAACCGTACTGCTTTGGCAAGGATCCAGCGCACGGAGCCAAACTGCCCTTGCAATGGGCTGCGCTTGCCCCTCCACGGTCAGAACGCATGCAGCCGCCGTCACCAACTGCAGTTCTACGTCGACCTCAGCTTGCATGAAAGCTCATTTTGTCTTGGTGGACACTGCTTCCTTCAATTGTCCAGCAAAGAAACAGACAGCTCAAGCGCAGCTGTTCGCAAAGGCGGAACGAAAGATCCAGCATCCGTGTCCTTGTGTTTGATGACCCGCAGGCGCTGCTTCCGTCTTCATGGGCGCTCATGCTGGCACAGCCTTCAGGCTCTCCGAGCGGCCATAGGCAGTGCGCGAAACTTGGTTCCATGTCCGAGATGTATGTCCAGCTCAATTTGCGCAGTGGTACTCCTATATCGCATGATTTATGTCAAGATGATGTCACAGCATGCGAGGCATCAAGCAGCATTTCTTCCGACGAGGGCTGAAACCGTGTCCTCGACGTCTCACTTACCACCAGAAAGGCCCCGGCTTCAAACCTGAGCTGGCCCGGACGCGCTTTATTAGTCGGTTGCTTCCTCAAACTAACAGGAACTTGCAGGAAGCCAGAACAAGGTCAGGCGCTCGATCCAGCGTCCACCTCCCAAGTCGTTGTCGATAAGGAAACGCAGGATCAATGCCTCAGAGGAAGCATCCCTTGGCCGGAAGAACCGTCCAGCATTGTTTTTGCCACCTCTTCGGTGCGGCTGGGGCTCAATGTTGGCCTCAAAGACTGCGGTGGCCTGTACCTCAGAGTTGCTCAGCTGGAGGCCTTCGAGGGCCTGCAGCAGCAGCTTGCTCCACCAATCTCTTGATTGCCACTTGTACCCTATGCAAATATGTTCGATCATCCGACCGTGCCTTCAAGCATGGCGACACGAGCCTTAAGCAAAAGCCGTGGGGGCCGGGGAGCGAGGCACATGAACAGCCTTCAATGTTCAGTCGCGAATGCGTACTGGCAAGAGCTCCAAACATCTCTGAGAAAGTAGCTTGGGCCCGGCAACGCTGACCATGAGGAGGATCTCTTCAGCTTGGAAGTACAGGATGGGCGTCCGCCGGACTACCTGGACCTAAAAATGCAGACTGTATGGAGAGCTTCTCAAACCATACTGAGCGTTGCTGAGCCACGGCACTGCAACGATCGCCTTCTGCGATCCTCCCGGAGACGGTGGCATGGCGGCTTGCAGAGCTGCTTGGATTTCGTTCTCGCGACCCACCACTTCCGGGCCGCACCGCACGTAGAAATACGGATGAAAGTTGTGGATCCTCGCACAGACTGAGTGGCCCTGCTTGGTGATGCCATAGAGCCGGAGCTCGTGGTCTCCAGTTCCAGTGGAGGATTGCCCATCCTCGATATCAAGCAGGAAGACTGCGAGAGGATCTCGCTCCGTTAGGACCGGCGGGATTGGACGAGCCCAGACAGCTGGCGCTGGTGGCGGCGCCGCCAGCGACACCTTGCTCCGCTTGGCAGGTGGCTTGGCCTTGGGCGCAGATGCGCGTTTCCCCATGGCAGGCGCCAGTATAACAAACCTTGCCTCGAGGAGCACGCTTGAAGTGAACACCGCGCGTGCATGAAGGCTGGCAAGCTGTACTCTGTATTTTTGGTACGTAACTTTAAAGACCCACTGTGTGCCGGTGGCTTGGCTTTCAGGCACGGCAGGAGCCGGAGGAGCCGGGACTGACCCTGGCGATGTCTTGTCCATCTTGGTGCAGCGATGATAGGAGACATCGGAGAATTCAAGACGTCATGTGTGCAAGCTGGCCTTTTTCACTTTGACAGAGCTGTACAGCGAATCCGGCGTTACACGCCTGCTACTTCGACTCTTCCGGCCTCGCTGGTGCACCGATTGAACTTGGGAGCCGCTGCGTGAAGCACAGGCCGACGCCTTGCCGGCTTCTGCAAGGGCTCTTTGGCCTATGCCCGGTGCAGCAATGCCAAATACGGGCTCACTGCCGCGACGTTGATGTCAGAACAGGCGAGGAAGCCCACTGTACAAATTGGCATGGCCGGGTGAAGCGCAATCATTATCGCACGGATCGGACGAAAGCATCCAGGCTGAGCTTCACAAGCTGCTTGTTCTGGACTGCAAGAAAGTCCTTAAGAAGCCATGAGTGGGCCATGAAAAAGCTGATCAACATACGAAACAGCGAGCTGAAATTCCGGGTGAGCAGCGGTGCAGACTTCACGCAGCAGTCGTCTATCGTGAGAAGTGACGACCACGCTCCCCTGGAAGTCCTCCGGTGAAACGGGCGCTGAGGCAACATGGCTGCTAAGTCCGCAATCCGTCAATCCGTCCCATCCTTGAGGGCGTTACCGAGGGCTTCTACGGTCTGCAGATCTAAGTGATTCGTCGGCTCGTCCAGCACCTGAGTTTAGTTCGTCAGGTGATAGCACTGTCTCGGTCCCTAGTCGCCCCACTTACTGTCGTCTGTCGTGCTCAACATCACTCGAGGCTGCCAAACTTGCCAAACCCTCCAAACCTGGAAGCTGAGTTCGGCACCAACACGTGTGGCGGCCTCAACGTGGCAGCCGCCAGAGCAACTCGACTACGCTCTCCTCCCGACAGGCACCTGCAGCAAGCGGCTGACGACGAATCTCACGAAAGACGGCTGAACCTACGGGGCGCCTGATGGGCGACACGGCCAAGCGGCCCAAACCGAAGCTGCCAAGGTGAGAACGCACCTCGCCCTCTGTAAGATTGGGATGTCCTGGATTCACTGTCAGCTTCAGCAGAGGACTCAATGAGCACCACTGAGCCTAAACCACCTGTTCGGTGTAGACATCAAGAGGACTTAGTGTACAAAGCAATCTCGAAATCCTCGGACCTCGGACGAGATGCTCTCACATAAGGCCTCCAGAGCGGTGGCATCGTTGGGCAAGTTGTCCGCCTGGCTGCCAAATCCCCAGCTTCAGCAGTGAGGTCTTTCAGAACGTGAGGCCAGCATCGAGAAAAGTCCACGTGCAAAGATCCTTTCCAGCATATCCCTGCAGGCCTGATGTTGACTGAAGAAGCCAACTACGACACCTGGGAATCATGCAGCTACCTTGCTCTGCACTCAGGGGTTGACAAGCGGGTTCTAGAGTCTATCGTCAAATCCTTCCATGATGACTCGCTTAGACTTGCTAAGCCAAATCCTCTCGTCCAGGGACCACACTCCACAACCTGTTGCCCTGAAGCACAACACCGAGAAGCGTGGTTGCTGATACACTTCACCGGCCAGGCAGGGCAGATCTTGAACCAACGTCCGCAGCAAGGTCGTCTTGCCGCTCCCATTCACTCCAAGGATTCCTGCACTTGCAGCTGATGAGTAGTTGATGCCAGTGCGATGCGGCTTCCCCCACGCTTTACGCCCTGGCGGTCCTACTCGCGACTTGTCCCGGATGTCTAGGTCGAACTTCCGCACCAAGGGTTTGGCCTTCTCCTCAGTCGGCAGCCAAGTCAGTCCGTCCTGCATTTTCTGGCACACTTAAAACTTAAAACTGTAACGACCCGTCACCCTCCCCTTGCCGGGACTCGTAGCCGATCACCACATCCCGGCACTGCAGTAGCGCAGCCTCGAAGCCAAGGGGTGCTGCCGACTTCAGCTTCAGGCGCACCGCCTGTTCCTTGGACTCCACCGCCATCTCCTCCATGGCCTCGAAGTGCGTCGCATAGCTGAATTTGAACTTGTGGCCACCGGCTCGCTCTAAGCCTACACGATTGAAGGACCAAGGCTTATCATCCAGGCCCAACTTGGTTTTTCGACTCACTGCGGCTTTCAACAGGCTATCGTTATTGGTCTTCCGGCCCCGCTGCTCCATCTCCTTGATCTGCTTCTCAACCTTCTCTTGCTTTTCAGATTGCCTCTGCACCAGTTCCGCGCGGTGCTGCTGGTCCTTCTCGTGGGCCTCCTCAAAAGTTGAAAAATTGCCGTTGTGCACCTGGAGCTTCATTTCAAACAAGCGAAGTATCATGGTACTGACCTTGTCGAGAAAGTCCCGGTCATGAGAGACAACTACCAAGGCAATCTCGTTCATGTCTTCTGACACCAAATACTTTTCTAGCCAGAGAATGGCTTGCCAATCCAGGTGATTCGTTGGCTCGTCCAACAGCAAGACGTTGGGCTTCGCGAGCAGGGCTTTGGCAAGGGCAACCCTCATCCGCCAGCCTCCACTGAGCAAGCGCGTCGGCTTTCGAAGGTCCTCCTCGTTAAAGCCCAAGCCTTTCAAGATGACTTCTGCTTGCCCTCGCATTGAATCAGCACCTAAAATCCGCAACCGCTCTCGGATGTCTGCTAGAAGCTCCACGACATGTGCCTGGGTATCTGCGGTGGCCTCTGAACACGAGACTTCCGCCTCGAGATTCTCAGCAGCTTTTGCTTCTTCGTGCTCCGCTTGGAGGAGGGCTTCCCGAGCAGCCTTCCCGCGGAGTCCGCTCAGCTTGCTCTCGTACATGGCGGCTTTGAACCTGGCCCTCTTGGCCATCAAATAGGCGTAGGCGCGCGAGGCCTTGACGGCCGCCTCCGGGCTGCCCAGTTCGCCAGCTTGGAGAGCCGACTCCTCCTCCAGCACATAGCTCAACTCCTGGTGTGCCGCCATTACGGTCTCCACAGCTGTGCGCTCATCCCCTACATCTTCCTGGTCGACCAGTAAGGTCACACAGTTCGGAGGATAGCCTGGGATTCTTCGTGAGGCCATGGCCCGAAACAAGCTGGACTTACCGGAACCGTTCCGGCCCACAAAGCCGTAGCGCTGACCAGGGCAGAGTTTCAGGTGAGCGTCCTTCAGCAGGTCACGGCCTGCTACTGAAATGCAAAGATCATGGACGTCAACTTCGGCGACTGCAGAGGTCATCTCGTCTTCCACCGCCTCCTTGTGGAAGCGAGAGACCCGTGCTCGCACTTCCAAGAGCTCGTCAAGCTGCTTCTCCTTTTCTAAGCCCTCCTTCTCCTTGACTTTTTTCTTGGGCTTCGCCTTCACCTTGGACTTCTTGCCTCGATTCGGCTACAGAGCGCTTCACTTCGTCTCTTCGTGTTTGCGAGCATGTCCACTCGACTTCCACGCTAGAACAAGGCAAGGTTTCGCGACGGAACGAAAGACTGTCGGAGATGGGCCAAGGATTTAGTGAAATAGCAAAATTGTCCGCCTGGCAAGGTGTTCTGCCTTGGTCCATGCCATTTTTGGCGCAGTTGCAAGCCATGAGGCGTTTGACGACCCCACGCCGTGCTCCAGCTGTTGGCCACACTGCTCTGGATGTCAGAATTCCAGTACTTGGGTTGTCCCTGAACTTGAGAAGGGGAACAGGAAGCCCGGGCCTGATCTCACGTTGCTTGTGTGGACGAAGTGTCTCTGGCAAGCTTTGCCAGTTTGGTTGGTCTGCTAGGAGTTGTAATAGAAGATGCCCTCTTGGGTCTGAGTTGACTACTTTCGGGTCACAGGCTTGCTCGTAGTTCTTCACGCACGCTTCATTTCCCCGCCTCCTTTGCGTTCAATCTTCAAGATGTCTTGTTCACCAAACACGAGGGGGGGAGCTGGCGCACAAACCTTTTGTTGACAGAAGCCTAGGTTCATACGGCAGAAACTTACTGCTGGTCCAGGGGGCCTTTATCCAGTGCCGGCTCGATCACCTCTTCCACCTCCTTGTGCTCTTCGTGTGAGATCGCTTCCTGCAGGGCGCGAGGGGGTGAAGCATGAAGTGACAGTGTGATGGATGCATTCCTTGGCCTCAGCGAGCCCGCGGTGCTGCTGCTGAGGGTAGCCAGCAGCACCTTGCGGGCAGTCCAGGGTGTTTCTTGGGTTGGAGCACAGTTCTGAGGCTCGTGCTTGCAAGCTTTGGCGGAGCCTCGATGCGAACTTCGGATCGAATCGGAGATAGGCTAAGTCACCGAGCCTGTCCTTCGGTGGTTCGGGAGTTGGAGATGCTTCGTCCAGGCCCAAGAAGTCGTAAACACTCTGGAATCCTCCATCGACCTTGCTCGTTGGGATGCTGATGGTCTTTGCACAACTGCGCTTGGTCTCGGCGCCTCTTCAAGCCAATTGTCGCAGCACTCCCTCACCTCGTCCTGTCTCGTGGCAGTTGCATGAGCCGAGTCTGAGACAGGAAAGACTTGCCAGCTCGCCTCCGAAACTGCCTCTGCCAACGTTGAAACAAGGAAGCTCCGGACCGTGTCCTTGCAACTCTCACTGAGGAATTCAGCTCGTGTACAGCTTGCAGCTCCATGCCGGGCCTCCAGGTTCGGTGCCAGCTTTTGCAGAAAGTCTGCAATCTCGCTCTCTGCTTTCTTTGGCATGATGCGAATGCTCGCAAGTTCCCTGTGCACCAACGTCAGAAAAGAAGGGTCGAGAGATGAAAAAACTATCAGTGCTCGAGCTTGAGCCGCGGTCTGAGGCAGGCAAAAACTTTCCAAACGCTCCTTGGGCATTACAGTACCATCATGCAAGCGGGGGCATGCGTGTGTAATCTGACCAGGAAGGGCCAAGGGCATTGCCTCATTATTTTCTCCTTGTCGTGGCTTGACTCAACAGGCCTGCTGGGCTGGAAGCCTAATTTCGTCGCAATGGAAAACGGCGCACGCAGAACCTTTGCTGCATGGAAATCTCACTGTGCATAGCCTCCTCGTTGACTGTCCAGCATCGCATTGCCTCGTCAGACGACGTGCGCTGTCCACCGCAAGGCACAAGTCTCCAACACAAACGGCATGAACCAATAACTGCCGTGGCAGCTTTTTTTGCATCCACAGGCAATCTGAGAACTTGCAACGGCGAGTTCTCAAAAATGCCACTGGCACCTTTGGCAGTCAAAACCCGTGCCTCCACCAGGATCTCCTGGCGTGGCCACCTGCAGGCGCAAGTGCAAGTGGACACCCCCCCAAACTCTCCAACCGCCACAACTTGCCATGTTCATGGTTTCCGGGCAGCTCAAAACTTTTCGCATGCCGATACCAGCAATCATCTCCGAACTTGCAACAACCTCTCACATAGAAGGAGCAAAGAGGTCGATCGACATAGGCACAGTCTTCCCTCTCAGCACCATCAACTCCGGTTGTGCACTGTACATAGCCATCACGGTAAAAGCATTCGGGCCAAACATCGTCCCAATCCGGCCAGAAGTAGACCACTGAATGATACGACCAGCATTGTGCACAGTACGACTTCCTCAGGTGTTCACAAAGGCCCTTGTTCATGTCCCCGAGAAGCTTTGCCCTTGCTTTGGTCTAAGCATCATCGATCCCGGATCCAACGCCCGGCCAGCGCGCATGCAGGTCAGGCGCTTCGTTCGGATACTGCATCGCTCCTGCGAAATGCTCGCAGCACATCGCAGCGCGGAGGCTGCAGCTTTGGGACCCTGGGCCCTCTCTGCAATCAAGCGTCGGAGGCGGCTGAACTCGGCCAAACTCGGCCCTCGATGTCCACCGGCCCTTGATTCCTCGGACAGCAGCAGGACGAGCAAGTTCAGACACAAGTGGACGGGAGAGTGCAGCAAGGCTTTTCTTGGCCAGGGTTCGGCAGAGGAGCCGGTACACCGGCGTCCAATTTTGTAAACCGATCCAAGTATCTCTTGATGCTCTCGGCATGGCAGCGTACCTTGCCGCCAAAGAAAGCTTCGACTCAAGGCAAGGTCTGCACAGATGCCATGTGCCCGTCAAGAAGCCGAGGTGCGTAAGGCCTGCAGTGACACAGTAGCCTCAGAAAGCGGCCTCTGGACACCTGTGATGCCAACGCATCAAGTGCGCTTCTGACATCTTCCCGCTTGAGGTCTTGCTTCTCCCAGGCTTCGGAGAGCAAGAGCGATCGTCTTTGAGCGATACCTCAACAAAAGGTTGCAGTCGCTCGCCCCTCGTGGCGGATGCAATGATGGGAACGGAGGATTGGTCAAAGCTTTGCCACTTGGTCGAGAAACGCCGGACCTCCTCAAGGGGGCATGTGCACGGTCACGGACACTTCAAAGACTGAAATCAGGAGGTGTAAATGCCTTGGGCCCGCTTCATCTCCGATCTCTCGGCTCTACAATACTTTTCGGATCAGTCTCTGTGGACGTCCTCCTGCAAGTCTGTCGTGGCGTCCTGACTGAGGACTGCCTGCAGTTGAGCTGCAGCTACGGCAGCTACAAGGCTTGAACAGCAGGCTGCCATTTACAGCCAAAATTGTTGCAAAGCAGGAAGCCTGCAGATATTCGTCGTAAGCGGAAACAAGAACTTCGTGCTCTCCAGCACACCAGCCAGCTGCATCCACAGGAGGGCGCTGGGAGGGATCCGCATAGCCTTGGCTGCTATGCAAGCTCCGCAAGCAGAACCCAGAAGAACAGAAAGGTCTCCTGTCCGCAGTTTTCGGTATAGTACATGCATGGTTTAGCCCCGAGGCTACAGCTTCCGAAAGGATTTCCCAGGCAAGTGGCACCTTAACTGAGGACACAACACGCCAGTTCAGGAAACGTCTGTGTCGTTATGTGAGGCCCCGGCGGTTGCAAACCACGTCCAGTGTGCCAACGAGCGGCAGATCCCAAAACATGGCGTGCTCCACCACTCCAATGGAGACTTGTCCTGAAGAAGTCGGACAATGCGAACATTGTTCCCAAACCTGCCATGTATGAGTTCCTCCACTGACCTTCGGATCGTAGGTCCTTGGGCGGCACACAGTAACTCACGGATATTGATCCGGTCATGTATATGCCCACAAAGACGGATGGCTTTCGATGCGAGGTGGAAGGCTTCTGGAACAACACATGCCGGCATCACGAAGTTGTGGCAGGTGCTGGTAGGTTGGGTCAATCAGACAAGATGGCAAGCCGCAGCGACGATCCAGCTCAAACTACCAACACCGCGAATCCAGCAACGGCCGCAGTCAATTTCGCTGTTTTGTGGTAGTGACCTTATCCTGCGATCCGCGAATTCGACATCCGGGAGAGGCATAGCAAAGGTGTATTTGCAAAGGCTACCAGGATACCTGCCAACCTCGTTGCGCAGTTCACATGGACGTCAGAGACTGAGCAGTCTTCGATCAAAACCACCTGAAACCGATGCCTCATACCTTTGATGACCCCAACCACAGCAGCACGAAGACGGACATGCCCTAGCACGTATGGAAACTTGCGGGCTTGTAAATTGATGCACAACCTTGACAGCCTTGAGCGACCATCAGAGAACCCTTCTAGTACAATTTGGAATCTGAGTTCTGTGCTTAGCAATGGTCGAACATGCAGTCACTAACAAACAACGGTGGAGCTGACTTAGGACTTAACTGAAGCATCTTCAAACTCTGACATGTTGTGGCGCTGTCCTCGCCAGTGCTCAGCCAATGGCTCAGGCCACGGCCAAGGCCGCAGCTCCGCGGCCGAATGTGCGAATCTCGGCAGCAGAGCTGCGTCTGCAAACTTCTCACGGTCGCTGAATTGATTGCCCGGGCACGTGCATACTTCGCCAAGGCCTCAGCTTGCACTCGTAACGTGTTTAGTGCTGTCAGTGAAGAGCGAGCAATCTTCGTCCCATGCTGGTCTTCTGCGGCGAGGCTAAGCCAAAGACAGCAGGTGTAGTTAATCACTAGACTTGCATGCACCACGGATGGATGCTGTCGCATGCCCTGCTGTCCCTGCAGTTGGTGCCATTTACCGCGAAAGTCTTGCAGCGAGGCGCTGCATGGCGCCTCTGCAACGACGGCCTGAAAAGCGCGAGATGCGTGCGAGGTGTCCGAGGGGCTCCAAGGAAATGCCAGCCTTGCACCGCCGGGTCTTGTACAAGTCGTCGGTCATGTCCCGCGTCATAATGACGTTGGCCCAAGCTTACATTGCATGTTGCTTCAACTGCTTCGATTCACATGCACAATCATGGTTGGTTGCCTGCTGTCCTGCACTGCGGCTGAACCTAGGCCTCTAGTCTTGCTTGTGGGGGTTTGCGCTCATGTTCGTCGCTGTGTTGCCAGGCTGGCTGGGAGGTGTTCAAGCTCCAAGCAGACAGGCAGGTAGCAACAGCAGTCAAGCCCTGCACACTAGTGCTACGTAGCTGTTAAACATGCGTTCGCCTCTCTGCCAGGCTCCACTTCGTCGGCGGATCTGGAAGGATGCACCAGGGTCCAGCCAAACGTGACACAGTCATCCCAGCCTGAACGTCCCCGAAGCACCCATCCTGCAGGCAGTGCTGTCAGTTACAAAGTTCCTCTTCCGTGGTCATGCCCCAATTGCTGTTTGCATCTGCAACATCTGCGTACAGCACTCAACTGCCCCGTTTCTGTGTGCCCAGCTGTGTGAGAAGCGCTTCGGCGGCTGCCTTCATTTCGGCAGCCTCTCGGTGTTCCGACTGGCACAACTTCATGGACATGTGTTGTAATATTCCAAACGCAGCTCGCCTCGTCTTCCATGTCCTCTGGCTGCTCGCCCTCCGCATCCGCGGCATCCTGCCAAGTGCCCACATGGATCTCTGAACAGGTGAAGTTTTCATGATGCCCATCTCCTCTGCAGGCACTGTGGGCTGCTTGTCCTGCCCAATCCAACGATGCATCCTGGTCCGCAGTGGTAAGCCGCATCGTCCTCTCTGTCTGGTTCCAGGGAGCTGCTCTGCACAGAAGCTGCTGTGCTGACACCTGACCACTTCGTAGAGGCGGGTGCGTTTCACACTTGCGAAATTTCGAGCGGCCTTTACCACGCTTTGGATGTGGCTTCTTTTTCTTCGTGCCTGGGTGTTGATGGCAGAAGAATCGCCCTATGCTGTTGAAAGGTTAGGTTTCCTGCGTTCTGGTCGCTTCTTCTTGACCAGGTACACCTCCAAGGGTGGGACCTGGAAGCTGGGCAGACTCTTCGGGGAAGACTCGCAGGGGCGACTTCTACGACATCATGGGGGCTGCACTCCTCCCAGCTCGTCTTCGTCCATACCTCAGATCGTATCCGAGAATTCTGCAGGTCCAACAAGAAGAGGCATCGTGCCAACCGCATGTCTCGACTCAGCCCGTTGATCTCAGCACTGGCTGAGGGATCGCAGAAGGTCGCGGCCAAGATGTAAGGATCGAAGGTCGTAGCCCAAAACAGAGTCCTGCCAGCAACATGACATGCAGCCATGGAGACCCTCGCATCTCGACTTGCCTAACTGGACTTTGGTGAACCTCCGGCTGACCCATTCGATCCCATCCCAAAAAGGTCCCCGACGTGAAGGATTGCACCTGCAAGCAAGACTTCGGCGCAAAACTCATTGCACACAGCTCGTCCACCCTGCGCCTAGGTGGCAGCGCACCGTCAAACGCTCGTCCTCGGATTATTCGACAAGATTTGGGGACGTTGGGGCCAAATCTATAGTACGAGTACGAGTACAGCGATCTTCAGTCTTCAGGGCGCCCACATTGTGCCCGAAGTCAGCAATGCGTGCGATCTGACACAGCTGCTGCGGAAAGCCCGGCTCTCGTGAATCCGTGACTGCTCTTGAGAGATCTCCGTGCCTCAACTTCGCATGGCTGCACAGATGCAGCACTGCCTCAAACTCTGCCGGCATGTGATAACAGGTCCGTATACCGTCGATAGATAGTATTTGAACCCCTGCACCTCCGCGCCCTCGCGCGAGGTCAGACCTCTCATGTCAGCATCTGATTGAGACTGAGATCACGTGTCAACCGTGAAGCACTGAGGCAAAGACTCTTCAATGTCCAAGACGATGAACTCCTGCATCGTTCGTCGATGTCTGAGTATTTTCGTATTCCCTGGGTCCCCAGTCCCAAGCAAGACACTTAGGTCAAGGCTGTCAACTTGGAAGGGATGCTTACCTCACAATCATCGAGAGAAACGGGCTACTTCCGTCGCTTTTCTAGCCTCTCGCGTTTATCTTGAAGGGCACACCCATGACCCCACGATCAAACCACCCCGCTCGTGGAGCAGGTTCGTCTGAACTCAGAACCATAAACAGCGTGTCTGCGAATCCAGGAGGAGCACAAGCTGCACTCTCCGGCTTCGCTGTTGGCTACCATGCGACCAAACAAGAAGAACATCAAAGTATCAAGCTTGAGCACCACTCCTTCCTCGTGGGAAAAGCAGCCTAGCGATGATCGCGCGGAGACTCTTCCAATTTAGCCTTGTGACTGCTTTAAAAGAATAGTTTAAAACAAGCTCTTCGGGGCCTCGCGGCTTCGTTCCTAATTTAAATCCGCAGTAAGCTGCTCTCCGTGCGTGTTTAAAGCCTTGGATCTCACATCCGCTGCTTCTATGGATGTCACTGGCTCTGCCGCAGAAGGGAAGACCATTGAGGCTGAGGCGGACTGGAAGGGCTTCCGCCAGTATTCTGCGCTGGCAACCTCACGCTTGATCGGTTTCCCCAAGCGCTTTGGAAGCCAATGTCTGCTGTCAGTGCTCTTCACCGCCTCCACACGTCGGGAGGATGCAGGGTCGACGAGAGAGAGCTGTGAGGAAGCCTTGAGACAAAGCCTCAGCAGGCTTTTGCAGCAGGCTTTCGCCCAGTTCGCAGAACCGAGGGGCTCGCATCAGTGGCGGCAAGCCTCCCAGGGCCTGCACCCGAGAAGATATGAGTCGAGCTGAGCACATACTCTTGTCCCTGCAGATTCCAATAGCCATTGCATTGGCATTATTAACCTTCCCTGTGGCCTGTGCCGTCTTCTTCGGCAGAAACACCAAATCGTCCCGGCCTACGTCATGCAGGTTCGAGCCGACAGGGCGGGCTTAAACCGGCTGGGGCACCAGCAAATCGGGCAAACTTCTACCTGAGAGCACATGGATCGTATGTGACGTCTCGTCATTGACACCACCCTCCAGCAGAGTCCGGAACACATGTAGTTCGCTTGAACCTGTACCTGCGCTCGAGCGTTTCTCTGAAGACTGCTCAACCACCCCGACTTGCTCTGGTTTCCCCTGGTGTCACGTGGTGTTCTGCGCATTGTGGCTTACCAAATGCTTGGACTCATGGTGCTTGACCTTGGAAGCGACGAACCCACTGGTAAACAAAGTCAGAGAAGACTCAGTACAGTCAAGGCTGTAGCCACAGCCCAGTTCTTGAGAAAGGATACGAAGTCCTGAAGCCCAAAACCGTCGCTGCTGTTCCAAAAGGAGTGGCCGTCTCCTGCCTGTGCATCCCGCTCTTTGCTGAAGAAGAAATCCAAACCCTCCTCGTGCAGCATCGTGCAGCTGCTGGCGTGTCTTCCCATAAAGAGTCTTCATGCTCCAACAAGTGCACTTTGGATGTAATGTCGGCCAGCTTCTGGAGTGAAGGAGAAATTGTGGAGACGTGGCCATGGAAACTTGTGCTAGATTCCGGTCAGTCAACAGACAGGAATGCCCTGCCGGGTGCATAGATTTTGCTTGAGCTTGACCAGCATAGCCTTCTATGCTTCATGCAATGCTTCCACCAGCATGCGGCGGTTGGAATCACCGGCCAGACCCGTACCCTGCCCGTACCTATCACAACGCGCTTCTTGAGGCCTTCGTCGGCGTCAGCTGGATCAACTTCGTGTGCGCCTGACAGACCCATTGCACAAGTTTAGAGTCAGCTGGTCTGAAACAAGTCACCTTGTGCTTTAGAATCAGCTGCTCTAGCATCATCAAGGTGCGTCTGTGCCTGAACAGTAAGCCGAAGGACTGTATAAACAAATGTGCCCAGCAGAAACTGCGTCCGGGAGCAGAACTCTGAGCGCTGCCGGACCTGTGCGAGCCGAAGGTTTTTGCACAGTGAGCATGCAGGAGCTGCAGGAACCCGTGGACAATTCTTTGTTGGAACTTATGAGACATTCTGTCGAGGCTCATGCTCACCTCTTACGCACTTTCGCCGTGATCTCCCCTCTTCGCAATGCCCTGCTAAGCTGGCTCGAAATGTGCAATGATCCTTTTCGCTCAGAAATTGGCTTCGTGGCTCCACGCGTCTCCCTAATCTGCCTGCTAAAAGTCACGAGGGCTCTCGGCCCGTATTCTCGGGGCATGTGTTCCAGAAAGGCCTTACATGCGCGATGCACCTCCGTACCACAACTCCGCAAATCCCTCTCAACCCTTGTGCATCTCTCAAAGGTTGCATTTGCAGCGAGACGTTGGAGGCTTGGGTGGCAGAGCACCCGCCACTTTGCAAGCAATATTTGCAGCTTCGAAGCAGTTAGAAACGATAGGCTCGTCTTGCGCTGCCGCTGAAGAGATCTTCAATGGAGCTTTCCGAATAGACTTTTGCCAGATCTAAGAACGCAGCCAGCAACCGCTTGGGTGGCCATCCATCTTTGGAATCCACCGGGGAATTGGTTGCAAACATACAACGCTCGGGACCAAATAGCTTGATGATTCGATGGACTGCGTCTAGGACGGTTGTGTTCGAATCCCAGTTCAAGTCGGTGTAGCAAAGCATGCTTATCTTCATGTAGGTGTTGGGCAAACTGGCTAGCTCACTCATTCCTTTCCAATACTTATCAGCAGCAGCTGTTAGATCCTGCAAGCGCGGACTGCCAAGGTGGTTAATGATGACCGTGATCCCCGGATGCTCACGCAGCAGCCTAGCCGCCTTCTCAAACTGGTGAGGATTTAACTGCAAGTCGAAGCTGAGGTTGAACTTCTGTAGCAGTGCGAATCCCCTCCTCCACGATGGGTCATCGAGCAAGTCGCCCAGATCCGAGTTGCGGGGCCAGTCTGGCTGGTGGTTCAGAATCTGTCGAATTCCGCGCACGCCAGGGTTGCTGCTCAACTTCAGTAACACTTCTTCGGCATCTGGCTGCTCCAGGGCACAGGTTGGCACCAAAACATACGATCGCTCTACCGACGGATTCACCAGCTCTGCGGCTGCAAAGGCTGCTTCACTCATGCAGTGCGATGAGTATGCTGGCCCACGAAGTCCCGGATGGCACACGCTCACAGCCTCCAAGAAAACGCCTCCCTCGTGCTGGAAATCTTCCCCAAGGCTGCATGCGCTCTCGTACTGCAGCCGGTCAAACAACGGAGTGCCACTGGGTGCAAAAAGAACCTTCGGGTCATGCCCGGATGTTGTCGTGTCCCTCACATCCCACACGTGGAAATGAGCGTCAATGAATCCAATCTTCCTTATGGCCGTCTCCATGTCCCTACGGTCTTTGCTGTGGACAATCCACAGTTGCGAGCCAGAACACAACGAAGCACTGCAACATGCTGTACCCGACCAGCAACGCCATGGAGCCACTCAGGGCGCCTGAACCGAGCTGTCCCAGGTGTGCTTCGTGTAGCTCTTCTTGCACTCATCGCACTGAAGGTTACTCACTCGCAGCCTCGGCAAAGGGCCAAGGGCCAAAGGCACACCCCCACCGAGACTCTTTGAGAGCTGGGCTCCACAATCACCGTCTGTCTCACAACCACTCCGACAAGTGCTTCCTGCCTTAGTTGTCACATGCCACAAGCGTATGGCCGGATAGGCAAGCTCCTGAGGTCTCCTGAGGTCCTGGCTGCAGTTCCAGCTTCACCTTGAGCCTGAGGCTGGAGCAATCTTGAAAGCAATGCTTAAGCTTGAGGCTTAAAGGACGCTGTCGAAATTGGCCTTGGGCCCTGAGTTCTCGGCTCTTTAGAGTGGGGCTCCGTCCTGCGAGAGGCGAGGCGAGCACAGCTTGTCCCTGAGGTGTCACTGTCACTGTAGGTCGGTCCAGATGAAGCTGGCATTGGCCTCATGTGACGTCCGGATTCTCCGGTGTCTACGCAAAGTGTGTGGAAAGATGCATCGTGGCGGCTTGGTCAACTTAGGCACCTGCCAGTTGCACATCTTTGCCAATTCCCTTGATGCTCTTCAGGCAGATGCCCAACCTCCGTTGCAGTATGCTGCAGTCTTGGAGAATGGAGCTAGGGGCCCGCACAGCTCGCGACTCTCGTTTTCAGCGACGGTGTAGGTCCCTCCTGGCCTGACGAACAGCGGCGGGAGTGGCACCTGAGTGGACCCGGCTTCGGGAGGCAGGCCGTAACCATCGCCGACACGTGCCGCACCTTTGCATTCCAGGTGTTCTTGACGTGTCATTAGCTGTACAACAAAAACAACTCCTGAACTCAGTGGCACTGCCTAAAACAGTGGATTTCAGCACCAACATTCACAACCATCCAGACATGAATCATGCTTGACGCATGGATGTGATAAATGATAAGAGCAAGATGGTGGCATTCGACTCGCCCGCGATTCTGAGAATGCGTTGTGCTACTTTGTCCTGCATCTTTGTATTGCTGCAGCCTGCCAAAGCGTCCCTCGGCAGGCTGATCCCGTTTCAACATGCCGGACGTTTTTGTCATGAGATCGTGTGCTGAACCTGCGCAAGTTGAACCCGAACGTCACAAAGAGGATTTCAGAGTGCCACTCGCTCTGCCTTGAACGGCTCTCCGCTTCGTCCACCAGAAGAAACATGTATGACTGGGTTTGTGCAAGTTTGGGCGTTGAAGTTCACGGTTCCAGCCCTGCTGCCCTGGAGAGTCCCATAAATGTGACGCAAGCATGGGGCCAGTGCTGGTGCACATTCCCTCGTCGGGAGACACCGGCTGCAACATCCACCTACAAAGGTGGACAACGTGGCGTCCGAGCATTGTCCCGCTTCTTTTCGTGCCTCGCTGCGCAGGCATTGCACCTTGCCGCGCAATGTTAAAGGGCAGAAGCTGCACATGCGATGGAACATATTGTCGTTTTGCGTCTGCAACGGCTCAGATGGCTCGAAACCACGCTCTCCGCACCATCCGGCCCGAGGCCCCGAGGCGGATGCGCAGCGCGCGCCCGCCGACACCGTCGAGGTGATTGCCACCTCAAAGCGAAGCGAATGAAGCGACTCGCGAACTTAGACAGGCGACAGCTGAGTGCCGCGCCCCACAGATGCAACAGAGCACCATTGCTGTCCATGTCTGCGTATTTTTGCCCTATCTGCGTATCCAAGCTTCGAGTCAGCTGTTCCGGCTCAGCTGAATTATAGGTTGGAGTGAGAGTAGTATACACAGGGTTGAATATATCGCTAATCATCTCGTGGGATTCTCGATTGATTCAGCTCTGAATACAAAAACAATGATGTCGAAGCGGAGAGATGAGTGAGCCTTAGATATTGATAAATTGCTATCAGACATAACCTACCTGCGAGGTTGGCAGCTGGCTGTGCAACTGCATGCCTCTTTTGCTTTGCGAAAGCCGCGACATGTCGTCAGCACTGCCAGCCACTGCCAGGCCTCCGTCG